CATCCAGGTTGCTGTAAATGATGAGAATTCCTTCTTTTTTATGGCAGCATAGTATTCCATTGTGTAGATGTACCATAGTTTTTGGATCCAATCATCTGCTGATGGGCACCTAGGCTGTTTCTGGCTATTGTAGATTGTGCTGCTATGAACATAGGGGTGCATATATCCTTTCTGATTGGTGTTTCTAGTTTCTTGGGATATATTCCTAGAAGTGGGATTACTGGGTCAAATGGGAGTTCCATTTTCAGTTTTTTGAGGAAACTCCACACTGTTCTCCACAGTGGTTGCACCAGTCTGCATTCCCACCAGCAGTGCACGAGGGTTCCTTTTTCTCCGCAACCTCGTCAACACTTGTCGTTTGTTGATTTGTTGATGTTGGCCATTCTGACAGGTGTGAGATGGTACTGCATTGTTGTTTTGATTTGCACCTCTCGGACAATTAGTGACTTTGAGCATGTTTTCATGTGCCTTTTGGCCTTCCTTCTGTCTTCTTTTGAAAATATTTTATTTAGGTCCATTGCCCATTTTTTAATTGGATCATTCATTTTCCTTTTATTTAGTTGTATAAGCTGTCTGTAAATGTTGGAGATTAAACCTTTATCAGTGGTGAGAACACTGCTACTTGCAATTTAAAATAAGAAATGGAAAACAAGAAACATGAAAAATGAAGAAAACATGACATCACAAAAGATCACAATAATTCTCTAATAATTGAGGACAAAGACAAAAGGATCTGCAATATACTTTAGAAATAATTAAAAATATCTCAGTGAACTTCAAACAAACAAACAAATAAATAAACAAATATAATAAACAAACAACAAACAACTCACAAACAAAACCTAACAACCCCAGCAAAACAATTAAAAAAATCAAGAAACAATATACAAACAAAATGAGAAATCTAACAAAGAGCAAGAAATCATTAATAAAAACCAAAACACCCAAGTAGAAATCCTGGAGCTGAAGAATAAATGAATAAGATTTAAAAAAATTAAAGTGAAGAGCATCAAAAGCAGGGTTCTTTATCTTCAAAGGGAAGATAGAATTAGTGGATTAGAGAATAGAAACTTGGAAGTAACCCAGTCAGAAGAGAACTATCTATATAATGAAAGCGTCAGCGACCATTATGGCAGAACAAGCAGAACGACTGGTCACTATGATGTGCACTGACCACCAGTGGTCCTGCTCAGCCAGAAGCTGGGCTCACTGCTGGTGAGTGCAGCAGCAGTGGCGGGTATCTCTCCTGCCTTTGCGGCAGCGTTAAGGAGCAGTGAGCTGAGCGTTAAGGAGCAGCAAGCAGGCAGGTGGTAAGGAGCAAGGGGTCCTGGACTGCAAGAGGGCACAGGCTGGGCTGAGGGGACCACCCCCCTTGCACAAATTTTGTGCACCAGGCCTCGAGAGAGAGAGAGAGAGAGAGAGAGAGAGAGAGAGAGAGAGAGAGAGAGAGAGAGAGAGAGAAAAGAACAAAGAAGGCCTACATAATGTATGGGGTACCATTAAAAGAATAAATATTAGAATTATAATAGTTCCAGAAGGAAAAGAAAGGGAGAAGGAATAGTTTATTTAAAAATATAATATCTGAGAAATTCCCATGCTGAGGAGAGGTTTAACATCTAAATTCATTAAGCTAATAGATATACTCATTATTTTGATTCAAAATTATATTCCTTAAGACCCATTATAATGAAAATGTCAAAAATCAAAGACAGCCTGGCTGGCATGGCTCAGTGTTGACATAGGAATCAGGAGGTCATGGTTTGATTCCCAGTCAGGGCACATACCTGGGTTGTGGGCTTGATCCCCAGTGTGGGGCATGCAGGAGGCAGTTGATCAATGATTCTCTCTCATCATGATGTTTTATATCTCTCTTCCTCTTCCTTCATCTCTGAAATCAATAAAAGTATATTAAAAAAATCAAAAACAAAGAGAAAATCCTAAAAGCAGCCTGATAAAAAAAAGTAATCTAAAAAGGACCTTATTAAGTTCTCAGTGAATTTCTCAGCAGAAACCTTATAGGTTGGGAGAAAGTCATATCATATATTTAAAGTGCTGAAAGATCAAATGTCAGCCAAGCGTACTCTGTCTGGCAAAGTTATCCTTCAGAAATGAGTGAAAAATAAAAACTTTGCCAGAAAAATAAAAGTTGAGACAATTCTTTACCACTATCCCTGTCTTACAAGACATGCTGAAGGAATATTTCAAACAGAAATAATAACTAACTAGTTATATGAAAATATGCAACACTTTGGCATATTTTGTGTTTTCTAATTGTCAAATTAGAAAACACTATATGCAATATGATGATGTGCTAACCATTTAACTGTAGTATAAAGGTTAAAAAATATACTCAAAGTAACTATAATTTTAACAAATACACAATATAAAAAGTGGTAAAGTGTGATTTCACAAACATAAAAGAGGATAAATAAAAGGGTAGATTCTTTAAAAAAATATATTTTATTGAGTTTTTACAGAGAGGAAGAGAGAGGGATAAAAAGTTAGAAACATCAATGAGAGAGAAGCATCGATCAGCTGCCTCTTGCACACTCCCTACTGGGGATGTGCCTGCAACCAAGGTACATGCCCTTGACCGGAATCGAACCTGGGACCTTTCAGTCTGCAGGCTGAGGCTCTATCCACTGAGCCAAATCGGTTTTGATGGTAGATTCATTTTTAAAAATATTTTTATTGATATCAGAAAGGAAGGGAGAGGGAGAGAGAGATTGAAACATCAATGATGAGAAAGAATCATTGATCAGCTGCCTCCTGCACACCCCCATTAGGAGCAGCAAGCAGGCAGGCGGTAAGGAGCGAGAGATCCTGGACTGCAAGAGGGCACAGGCTGGGCTGAAAGGACCACTTAAGGGATTAAGTCCACAACCTAGGCATGTGCCCTTGACTGGAATAGAACCCAGGACCCTTCAATCTGCAGGTCGATGTTCTATCCACTGAGCCGAACCAGGTAGGGCCAGGTACATTTTCTGTAGGTGATTGAGGTTAAGTTGTCGCAAGAGCATCAAATTCCTCCCTCGCTCATGAGTGTGGGGTCCTTGGAGTGCTGCTGAAATAAGCATTTTCAAAGCCCCCCTGGGAGAACAAGATGTAGTAAAAGACTTTATTTTGTGTAGTTACATTCCTCAGTTTCTAATGACCCTTAACCCAGTGGTTGGCAAACCGTGGCTCGCGAACCACATGCGGCTCTTTGGCCTCTTGAGTGTGGCTCTTCCACAAAATACCACATGCAGGGGCGCACGTACAGTGCGATTGAAACTTCTTGGCCTACTTGCAGAAGTCGGTTTTTGGCTCTCAAAAGAAATTTCAATCCTTGAACTGTTAATATTTGGCTCTGTTGACTAATGAGTTTGCCAACAACCGCCTTAAACCAGTCCAGAAAAAGGTGGAGTAAGTATTCCAGTAGAGCCAAAAGCAGCACCAGTGTCCAGAGCTTCTGTTCTAATGTTGCAGCCAGGTCTAGTGCATTGAGTCCAGATTCAGTCCCTTAATCCATGGTGTGGAGTCCACATGGCTGAAGGCTACATGGGCGAATACAGGAGAATACACCTGCATTTTTTCTTGCTGCTTTTAGGAATCCCAAAAGAGCAAGAGGGCCAAGAACCAAGAGCTCAAGCTCCCTTTGTCTAGGAGTTTAAATATTCAGGTTTTGAGTTCTTGCAGTAGCCATGCCTATTCTGGCCACTGGTTAGTTTGTTTCCAGGTGTATCTGTCAGGTAAGCATTTTCCCATGTCACCCAGAACTTCATGAGCCTAGATCTATTATCCAGTCCCTTCCCCAATCGATGAGCAGGGAACAGCCCTGGAGAGTGTTAGATTACAGCTTTCTGGCAAAGTTGTATAAATGGCATGCCTATACCAATATTATCTAATCTTCCCTTTACTCCTTTCATGTGAATAATACTCAGATTATTACAATGGTATCAAAGTTGCTTCCAGAAAAATGGACTGTTAAATCTAGAAAGTGTTTTATGTAGACCCCATGGTAGCCACAAAGCAAAAACATATAGTAGATTCACAGAGGATAAAGAGAAGGAAATCTGAGTCCACTCCTGAAAAGCATCAATTCACAAAGGCAAGAGAGGAACTACAAAACAGCTAGAAAACAAATGGCATTAGTAAGCTCTTATAGATCAATAATCTACATGAAAATGAATCGAATTCTCCAATCAAAAGGTTAGAGTGATTGCATGGATAAAAAAGCAAAGCAAAGCCCAACAAAACAAATAAGTAAACAAACAATAACAATAACAAAAACAAGACCCAACTATATGCTACTATAAGAGACCCACTTCAGCTTTAAGGATTCAGGCTCAAAGGAAAGGGTTGCAAAAAAAAATTTTATTGAAGTGGAAACAAAAAAAAATTATAGGTAGCTATGCTTATAAAGGACAGCTAACTTCATTCTCAAGGAAGTTGCCTATGCAATTGGACCTGTATTCCATACTTGAGGAAAGTTTAGAAGCATAATTAATTTGGAAACGAGAAGGAACTTCTCTTTGGAATAAAACAAAGAATTCAGAAGAGATGAATTGCAAACTCAAGTAAATATACAAATGAGTGAGGGTTTTCAGTACTTAAGCAAATGCAGTGCAATTTGCACAGTGCATTTGAAAAAGGTGTTCTAGAATAGAAAGAATCAGAAAACCCAAATCTTGTATGTACACCATAGCCAAGTGGCCTCATAGCCTAGACCCTAAGCAGGCTGAGGTGGAAAGTCCCATGCTTTCACTCTCTGAAACCAGGAAGGTGAATGAGAACCTGACAACATGGCCTTTCTCCTTGTGTGCCAAGAAGAACTGCAGGGTCAGGCCTGGTCCAGACTCAAGCCAGCCTGCAGTTAGGCCTCGCCTATGTGTTCTATGTGAGAGATGCACAAGGTCAACAGGAGGCCAGGACACATCTGCTCCTCTGTAGATTGGAGGAGCAAAGAAAAGACAGTGGGGAGCTGAAGGAATGGTAAAGCCTAAGTATAAAGAGACATTTTTATAATTTGAAGTCTCTTTGAATAATCAAGACATCCTATCTACGAGTAAAGAGATAAATAGGCACTGAGGAGAGCCCAGATATCACTTTGAATTGGGAAAATGTATTCTAAGTTGATTTCTTGAGAAGCTTAGCTACTTTTAGGAAAGCTGCAGGCCAGCTTTAAAAATCCAAAATCCTAAGAATCTGAAGGCTTATAAAAATGCTAAAGTTTAACAGGTGTGGGCACATCACAGTGCCACCATTTAGTATAAATTCCTTGGCCATGTGAAAGATGGTCAGGGTTTTCAAGGTACTTGACATTCACTGGCTTCTCATGTCAGGGGTCAGGGTTTCCTTTGACACAGCACTCCAGCTGAAACATACAGTAGGCAACTAACATTTCACTTGTATAGCACTCGAGTCTGCAGGTGCCATTTCCATAGCATTTCTGGTGTATTTCTGATGATAGTGGATTCAAGCCTGGAAAGACAATGAATGGGAGGAGAATTCACTAAAGACCTGTTTGGACTATAAAATAACAAGGCCCTCCACTTTTTTTTTCCTTTTTTTTCTTTTACTACACTGGATTCCAAGGAGACTAGTTCATATTGACTGATTCTGATAGAATTTAATTAATTCTAATAGATTCTGATAGAAAAAATTAGCTTGTGCTATGGGTTGAATTGCAGCCCCCACTCCCCAATTCATATGTTGAAACCCTAATCCTCAGTGTGACTGTATTTGGAGATCGAGACTTTAGGAGGTAATTATTATAAATAAGGTCATAACAGGGATGACTGGAATAGATATATGGGGGAAGAAGGGGACATATGTAATACTTCCAACAATAAAAAATTAACAAAAGTAATAACAGTGAGGTCCTAATGCATTAGGATTGGTGGCCTAAATTAATAGGACTGGTAGACTTATTGGTAGAAGACACAGAAAGAAGATGGCAGGAAATATAACTCATCAGAAACTGAATTGACCTGCAGTTGATCTTGGACTTTCCAGCCTCTAGATCTATAAGAAAATAAAGTTTTTTTTGTTTTTTTTGTTTTTTTTTTTTTAAAGCCATGAAGTCTGTGGTATTTTGTTATGGTAGTCTGAGATGACTAAGACAATTAGTAACTTGGAAGTTTGCCTAAATTGGTCAAATAATCACTTGAAACCATCAAATTACCTATGTATATAATCCTTAACTCATTTTTAATTACTTATTAATTACCAAACTAGTTTTTATAAACTCAGGTACTGTTGGGCTGCAGATTTGAGTGTGATATAGACCTTAATCTCAAAAAATTTTCAGTCTAGACAAAGATAGAAGAAACACAAAATACCTGTAAGAGAGAAGAAAAACATGACAAGTCTAGTGAAACATTTGCCAAATGGAATGGTGTGAGTTCAGAGGAGGATGAAATCAGATTTGGGATGTCTTATTAGAGCCCAAGGCATTAGAGCTGGGCTTATCATTTTGTAGACAGGCTACTCCACAAGATCATTGAAATATGAATGTTTCTTTATGCTTACGTGTAAGAAGGTGTTAAAAGGACAAGAGTGCCAGTATTTGTCCATGTGTCAATATTTTGAGCCAACACATATCCTATCCAAGTCATCATGACCTGGAGGATAATTGTCTTATAGGAAAAAAGGGTTATTTAGCTGGCAAGAAGAAGACCTGAAGAAATGAAATGTAATAGTCTGCATAGGAGATGAGAAAGTCCTATGAAAAAGACTAGCCATGGGAATGTATAAGACACTAAGTGGAATATTATAGACTATATGCAATTGTCTGGAGATCTGTGGTCATAAACCATAGTAGAATTGGTCCTACCAAGAGCTTTAAAAGGCCTGAATCCTAGGGATTCTTAATTTCAGCCCATTGAGTTATGATCTGAAAATCTAGTTCATTTGCCTAGAGTATATTGCAGGGAGGTAAGAAATTAAATGGGACCCTCTAACATATGGATTTGAGTTGATTCCACTGAATGAGGAGAATTTTCAGGATGAGATTTCTAAAGTCAGAACATGAGGCCAGTTAGTCTTTCATGTCTTTTATTACATAGGGCCTCATTAATTTTCTTGGAACAAGCAGTTCCACATCTGCTTCACCATGTACTTAACACATCTACAAATAATAATTCACTATATACAATTTCTGCATATTAGGAGGCTTAAAAATGTCATCACCATTTGCTGGTTTTGACTAGTACAACTAGCTATGTTCCTGAATTAGAGACAAACCACTGGCAAAATAAAATGGGACATCACTAATGAAAATATAATGGTACTTCGCATAAGTCAGGCCCTGCACATGTTACTTTAGGCATATTCTATATATTATACCATTTAATTCTTGCTAGTATTATATTTCTGTTCTGAAAGTGAAGAGACTGAGGCTCAGAAAAGCGCAGACTTTTGCCTACAGCAGTACAGCTAACAAGTTGGAGATTCAAGATGCAAGCTCAGACCCTGCTGACATCAAAGCTGCTTGATGCTTTTCCTACTTTGAAAATTAAAGGGCTCCTGGTGGGAGGACATGCATAGGTTTGCTTAGTGGAATTGCTCTTTTCCAGAAAGGACCCCCCAGGAAGATTTCCACTTTACCTGCCAGTGCTGGGTCCCAGAAGATGAGAAAGACAAACACAATGAGGAGAGGCTTCATGGCTAGGCTCTGCTGTGGACGAGGCTGGTGGTAGGGTCTGGAATGGGCTGTCAGAGAGCAGAAAGGGACGCACTCAGTTCTGAGGTGTGGCCTGCTTCAGTTGGATATGCTACACTGATCTCTCCCGAGGCACCTGAGTTGGCAAAGCTCAGATGAGGGAAAAGTGACAGCTGTCCCCATTTGACAGCTTTTCCTTTTGACAACGGTACTGCTCCCTGACTTGGGTTTTCCAAAAATACTAAGGGACTTGAGAACGATATGCTATTTCTTTTTAAAATACATTTTTATTGATTTCAGAGAGGAAGGGAGAGGGAGAGAGAGAGATAGAAGCATCATGATGAGATAAAATTTTTAGGCTGTCCCCTGAGGATCGAACCAACCACTTGGGACCCTTCAGTCACTAGGTCGACGCTCTATCCACTGAACCAAACTGGTTACAAAGGTTAATCTTCACTTTAACTGAACCTGCCTGCTGTCCTTTTTCTTTTCTTTTTCTTTTTGCATCTATGATAACACATCTTTGATAGCTTGTTTGGAGGTTCTAGCAGGGGAGCGCAGCTACTCATATACCCTTGACTGAAGACCGGTCCTCTCCTCTTGGGGGAAAGTCGTCCTCTTCGACCAAGCGCGCAGCTTCGGGAGGGACGCACATGGATCGGTGAGGGAGGAGGGGGACACCCGCCTAGCCAGCCAGATCAGCCGAATCAACCCTGGCGATCAATGAGGTGACAGATGTTGCAGCCAGATCGCCCTCACATCCGATAACACATCTTTGAAATATCAAAGTAATTTGCTTTTTCCCAGACCTCTCAAAGCACAACCACAGTTTCAGAGCAAAGACAACAAATCCTATCATCGTTATCATTATCAGAGTAATTATTGATTGTTAACCATTCTATACCCACAAATGTATGTGTCTATTTATTTTACTTTTTATCCAATCCTAGGGATTTCCCCGCTTGGCTTTCTCCCCTCCTTCTAAAATATCACCACTGAGTTTCATGTATCCATCCTTACACCTCCTCCTTTAATTGTAATGTATAAAGTAAGGTGCATAATTGTCATTCTCTTGAGCTTTTCCTCAATCTCTTAAGATTTTGCTTCCCGGCAATTATTGTCAGTTTAGCTCAAATAAACTCATAAAAATACTTACATGTTTGGATGTTTCTTATGTTGCTATCACCCCAATAAGTTTAATTAAAAAAATAAATTAAAAAAAGGAGTAAAAAATAAAAGAAGTCTGGTGTATTAGTTCTCAAGAGCTGCCATAATAAATGACCAAAAACTAGGTAGCTTAAACAACAAAATGTACAGAATGGCCAGATTACTATGATCTCTGAACGCATAATAATCTGGCCACTCAGTGCATATCCTATATAATAAAAGGCTAATATGCAGCTTGTCCCCTCAACCAGGAGTTTGACCAGCAGGCAGGCCAGCCAACTGCCTATGTCCCTGCCCCCTGGGCAGACTGGCCAGACCCCACCCATGCACAAATTTATGCACTGGGCCTCTAATATTTATGTATATACATCGAGTGGCCAGATTATTATGCGTTCAGAGATGATAATAATCTGGCCACTCACTGAATTGTGTCATTGTTCTGAAGGCCAAAAGTCTGAGATTAAGGTTTTCCCAAACCTAGTCTTAAATAAGGTAGAGGCAGAAGGAGAGTAAATGAGTGAAGGAGAAAAGACAGTTTATATTGTGATGGGTCACTGTTTTTGTCTTTAGTCCTGGTATTTACCGTATTTTTCGGACCATAAGACGCACTTTTTTCCCCCCAGAAGTGGGGGGAAAAAGTCCCTGCGTCTTATGGTCCAAATATAGCCTACACATATACTTTAAAAAAAAAGTTTTTTTACTTGCCCGGCTCTGTGTGGTCTCTGTGTGCTTGCCCAGCTCTAAAATGGTTCTAAACGCTGCTGTTTACTTTACAGGGTTGATTACATGTGTTTATGACTGTGATGTTGGGTTTTAATGCACATAAAATATTTTAGGACACTATTTGTTTCAGAATCTTTTTTTCTTCATTTCCCTTGTCTAAAAACTGGTGCGTCTTATGGTCTGGAGCGTCTTATGGTCCGAAAAATATGGTATATAATAAGAGGGGAGAGAAATGGCATAGGGTAATGGAAGACAGAAATATTGTGTAGTCTGAGAGCAATGATGCACTAGTGTTTCCTTACGTTAGTGGAACTCAGAGAGGTGGCAAGAACATAGCTCAGCATTGATTGCATGGTTCTCTTTAGTAGGTAGTCTCATAGCATTGGCTCCTCTTCCCTCACACAGGTCCCCCCAGTGTGGCAAGGGAGAGTAGCATAATCCCTGTATGGCTGAAATCATGAAAGTGGTAAAGTCATAGACAGTCCCATGTGAATATTTGGTAACATTCAAAATAATATATGAGTAGCAGAATTATCTTATGCACTAGGAATGAGCCTCACCCAAAGAGTTTTGACAATTTTATTTTTATTAAAAGGATCACCCTTTATACCTTTTTCTCATAAAATTTTTTGAAAATTTTAATTTCTTTTAAATTAAATTATTATCTGTGTACATATTTTAACATTGTCCCCCCTCCCATAAATACCTTCCCTCCCCAGAGTTTTGTGTCCATTGATTGTACTTATATGCATGTATACAAGTCCTTCGGTTGATCTCTTATCTCCCCCAGATCTCCCTACCCTCCCCGCTGCAATTTGAGTCTGCCTGTTGCTTTACTGTCTTTATATCTGAGTTTTGACAATTTTATTAAGACTAAGAGGCAACTCAGAAGTCATACCTTGACTAGTTATGGGAGACCAAGTGAGGAGGATATCTTAAGCAAGGTTCTCTCTGATGCCTCACCACTGTTCAACTCCTCTGGAACTTAAAAGTAACTTGGAGGAAAAAGAGCGCGGTGGAGAAACCAAGATGGCGGCATAGGGTAGACACCCGAATGCAGCCTACCACAACAAATTTGAATTTAGAACTGAAAAACAGGAGAGGCATTGCCCTGAAGCGCCAGACGGCTGGCTGAGAGGAGGCTCTGCCATCTGGGAAGGAGAGAGAAGGCACGCTGAACCTCAGGAACTGTGAAGGTACGGAGAACTGTGTGTGCGAAAAGGTGCTGGCTTAATCCCGGTGTGGAAAGGAAGGGCCGGACCGAGATTGCTGCTGGCTTACTCCCTGCACGCAGAGAGGGCAGGCCTGGCTGAGTTCGCTACTGGCTTACTCCTGGCGCGGAGAGGGTGAACAGCTAACGCGGCTGGCTTTCTTGTCCGAGAGGAAAACAGAATCAGCCTATTGCTCTGATAAATGGCCCCAGACAGGGAGAGGCCAGACTGTCAGGCAGTGGGCAGAGATCTCTTGGAGGTGTGTGAAGCCAGAGGCCATTACTGCGGGACTTGGGGAGGAGCCAAAAGGAAAACAAAGTTTGTCTGCACTAACCCGAGACTTCGCCCTACCTGTGGCTGAGCACAGAAGCTCTCCCAGAGGTTGGCTTTCTCTAAGGAGGGACTTGAAGGAATCCAAAGCTTGTCTGCGTCTTTACCAAAGAGATGCGTGCGTGCCTGCAACCAATCTTCCAAAACTCTCCACGAACAGGACTTTTCTAAGGTGAGACTGACAGGGAACCAAAGATTGTCTGCACCACCCCGAGACCCCGCCCTATTCAAGCAGAGTACGGAAACCCTCCTAGCTGAGACACTGCTGATCCTCACAGCCAATTGGCTTGGAAATCAATGCTTCCCAGTGATACCAACAATAAGCAAGGCTTAACAACTAGACTGCACACACAGCCCACAAAGGGCTACACCAAGACTGTCCACCGCAGGTAACTGGGAAGGCTGTGGTACTGGGCTCTACCAGAACACCTAGCACACAAAGCTATTCCATCAAATCAGGGAAACAACTAAAATGCAGACAAGAAGAAGGACACAAAGGAAGGAGATGGAGGAAAAGAAAAGATTGGACATTGAGTTCAAAACTACAGTTATAAGGTTATTCAACAATATCCTAAAAAAGGCCGATAAAATAAATGAGACCTATGAGGATATGAAAAGGGAGCAACTAGAAATAATAAGGGATCAACAAGAAATGAAGAAAACATTGTCTGAAATAAAAAATATTATACAAAGTCCTAAAAACAGACTGGAAGATTGCAAGAATCAAGACAAAGATTTAGAACACAAAGAGCCAGAGGACACTCCTCTGCAGAAGGGAGAAGATAAGAGAATCCAGAAAGTTGAAGATAGTGTAAGAAACCTCTGGGACAATTTCAAGCGAACCAACATCAGAATTATGGGGATTCCAGAAGAGAGAGAGCAAGATATCAAAAGAGTACTAGAAGAAATAGTGACAGAAAACTTCCCCCACCTGGAGAAAGAAATAGACTTACAAGTCCAGGAAGCCCGCAGAACCCCAAACAAAAGGAATTCAAGGAGGACCACACCAAGACATATCATAATTAAAATTCTAAGAGCAAAAGACAAAGAGAGAATATTAAAAGCAGCAAGAGAAAAGCAGGTAGTGACCTATAAAGGAGCACCCATAAGATTGTCAGCTGATTTCTCAACAGAAACCATGCAGGCCAGATGGGAATGGCAAGAAATATTCAAGGTGATGAATAACAAGAATCTACAGCCAAAAATAATCTACCCAGCAAAGCTATCACTCAGAATCAAAGGACAGATAAAGAGCTTCACAAATAAAAAAAAGCTAAAAGAGTTCATCACCACCAAACCAGAATTATATGAATTGCTGAAGGAGGTTATTTAGGAAGAGGAAGAAGATAAAGATAAAAATTATGATCAACAAATACGTAGCTATAAACAAGTGAATCTAAAAACCAAGGGAATTTAAAAATCTGATGAACAATATTAACTGGTGAATATAATAGAATCAGAGGTATGAAAGGGGAGTGGACTGACGATTCTCAGGGAAAAGGGGAGTGGGGGTGCGGGAAGAGACTGAACAAAAACTGTGCACCTATGGATGAGGACAATGGAGGATTGGGAAAGGACAGAGGGTGGGGTGGGAACCTGGTGAAGGGGAGCAATTGAGGGGG